GTCCTTGAGGATCTCCCAGCAATGAACCAATTTAAATGGTGTTTGCTTCTTGTTCCACTTTTGGGCTTTGAAATACTCATGCGCGTCGGCCATGTACTGCTCGGTGTTGTATCCAGAGCGAAGGATCGATGTCGACAGTTTGAGCGCCGACGCGAATGCAGCAACTTGTTTGTTGATTGTATCTCTCCAGTGAATGTAGAGACCATCACCAGTTCTATAGTATTGCAAATGTTACCCTTGCCTTCATATACCAGTAGCAAATTAGCTTATCATGCACTATACCTCTGTGTGCATTCAGGACTACTGTTGTAGGCTGCAGCTACTCGGGTGTAGAAATGACTTGCAGTTTGATCGTTTCCGACGATAGGATCGAGGGAGGCACTCAGCCATGCGTGACACAGCTGCACCTGCTCATGTGGGGTGAGGTTCCGGGAGCGTTCCTTCATTGCTTGTTTTGCTTGGAATGGGAAACAAAGCCACGAATCGATGGAGTCAAAGATGAATATGATTGGTTAGTTGAGTACCTGGAGTCCAGTACTCCAACAAAAATTCCAACAAATTTACTGGAATATTTGTTGGAGTAGTGGAGTCCAGTAACTTTTTTACTGGCTATTGGTACCGGTGCGAACGGTTTTTTTGGAATTCCAGTAAATCGCCCAATAAAATTATTGGGATCTGAGAACTGCTGGCACCGGTGCAATCTTACAGTACTGTAGTAACGTTACCACCGGTACACTCCAACCAGAAGCAAAGAAATTGATTTTGAACTAACATCTTCAAATGGAGTACTTTAGAGGAACATCGTACTTCATTACCGTACTTAATAAAACGTTCATTCACATGTTTGATTGGTCAAAAATATTAGTAGTGTGTACTTTCCAATGCTGGCACATCGAGCAGTGGCACGATGGCGTCCGTCCATTTGGCGCGCCGCGTGCTTGAGTACGTGGCATCGTGTGCATTGTGCATGCGACGATCTCACGATGGCATTCCCATAGGTACTCATAGTACGTCTTCAAAGAACACGCTGTACTCGTACGGTGATGGGTATCTGGGCACCTTGGGCCATGGCAACTACGACGCCGTGGATGCGCCGAAAGCGTTGGCCGCGTTTGAGGGACTGGACCTCGTTCAGGCGTCCACTGGCTGGTGAAAATTGAATCCCTTGACGTATGCGTTATCCGCTTTGCATGATGTAGGTCGCACACGGGGGTCGTGGATGTCCAAGGCAAAGCGTACGTGTTTGGCCGGTCACACCATTTCAAGAACGTCATCCGCGCCATCAACATGCATCGGTTTGCGCCTTGGTTTCTGGATTTTGCTAACAAGCTGGGCGGCGCGCGCTCCGTGGAAGCATTCTTGCCGGTCGAAGTGCTGCTGCCGGAGAAGGTGGCCGAGGTGGCTTGCGGCTCGACATTGTCGCTGTTCCGGACCGAGTCGGGCGTGCTGTATGCCAACGGCGGCAATTACTACGGACAATGCGGCGTGGGGCACGAGAACTCGAGTGTGTGGGAGGCCGAGCGCGTGAAGCTTCCGCCGGTTGCGCAAGTGGCCGCGGGATATCAGCACGTGTTGGCACTCACGACCGAAGGCCAAGTGTATTCATGGGGCAAGGGCGAGCGGGGACAGTTGGGCTAGTACGCCTACATACACTCTCCTTCGTCGTATGCGACTGATGGATGGATATGGTGTAGTGGCACTGTGAACTTGAGCGCACCCCAACAATTGGTGGCGTTGCGAGACAAGCAAGTGCGGTATGTGGACGTTGGCTTCAACTATTCGCTGGCAATCACAGGTGCGATATATATTTATATACTATTATATAATATATATACCATTCGTGGAGACTAGTCGAAGGCGAGCTGTACGTGTGGGGCAAATTGATGGGCGCGGACCAGCACGGTCGTAAGAATGGCGAAGATCAAATCACCCCACGACTGGTGCGGACGTCGGCCCCCGTGGTGGCCGCCAAGAGCAGCCACTTTCACACGCTCGTCTTGACTGGTACTGCTAACCAACGCCAGGACGGGTACCTAAATACAAGATCCCTGACATCTGAACGATAGAGGACGGCAAAGTATGGGTGCTGGGTCGGAGCCAGGCGGTGCACCTGACAGGTGAAAAGACCGGGCGGACCAACCCAGAGGTGCACGTGAGCCCCGTGGCAGTGGACGTGGGGGGAGTGTTGGACCCGAAGCGCATCGTGCGGCTGGGCAAAGGCGTGCACAACACGTCCATCATTCTCGGTAGGAAAATGGATGGCTGTCGAGCGCTGGGATGGGTTTTTTTTAATTTGGTGTGGATGATGAGTAGACGACGGCAGAGTGTTTGCGTGGGATTGGAAGGACGGGCTCCATCGCGTGGACGCGCTCAGCGGGTACCATGTCGAGTCGTATGAGACAGGATTTGGCTCGAACGTGTTCTTGGGCCATTCCAAGGCCACCAACGGCCAGGTTTAGGTGCAGGTTTAGGTGCAGTCTTATAGAGATTAAGGACCCAAGTTGCATTCTACGTCCCCGCTTGGCAGGCCTCATAGGCGTTGTTTCAAGAACATGTACACATATCACTGGCACCACGATGTACTTAGTGTACACACAACAAGGGGGAAGGGGTTCACCGAAAGTACCACAACAGCTAGCTAGCTACTCTTGACCACCAAGCCAAGCTGGGAGGGACTTTCACAGCATCAAGGATGCACAGACAGCGTAATCGCCATACTAGTATGTACTAGCCATGAGCTCCAAATACTATGAATACGCATGATAGTCGTTGGTTCTTGCTTGACTTATGCTAAGGGATTGATGATATTCGATGACATGGCGTCGAAGCCATTGGAACTGACTTGGCTCGTCTATTTTTGGACTTGACCGCCTTCGAGTCACTGCGTTGGAAAAAGCAGCGAAGACAAGAGATGAACGATCTGTTCCAGAAGACATCGACCAAGTCGGGTGCAAAGTACACTGCGTGCGCGCAGTCGTCGCCAAGAGTGACGCCATACTCTGGGCTGGGGCAGCTCCTCGACACTGGAGAAGACAATCACGTGGCCGACCAGTTGCCCCCTCCTTCCCCCAATAACGAGGCGTCAGAGTACACCGTGTACACCCGACTGGGGATTCAATCAACCCCCCCCCGCAGCACCAACCAAAGCGACTGCGACAGCAGCGAGGCCCCGCTGTCCCATCGGTCGTCCACTGCCTCCCCATCTTCATCCGACCACGTGATCAACATGGAATGTCCTCCCTATCTTGATCAGGATCCTCAACCACAAGGACCAGACATTCCCGAATGCAATGTGACATGCCGCCGAAAGAAAACAGCGTTCGAAGCCCGCGTGCGGCTCGCGATGCATGACAAGCCCATCTACGTGGGGCGGTACAAGACTGAGCAGGCCGCGCGGGACGCATGTGCTCGTCTCTTGCGGCAGACGACACCGCGGCAAGAATCGAAGGCGACGAAATAATATAAGAAGTAATATCGACCAAGTACAGTCGAGGTCACGTTCTGGGATTAAGATAATGCTGCTGCGGCGGCTGTGGACAAGGTCGGAGGACTCGGTCGCTTAATCAAGGTCGGGGTGATGCGTTTCTTCTTGGTCGATGGATCTGATGGAACTCCTTGCCACGTTGTCGTCGGTTGTGCTGTCGTTGGTGCCACATCCACCGGTGGCGGCGGCAGGAACGATTCCATCCAGGCAGTGCACGCCCCAGGACCTTCGTCCAGAAACCCATTAAAATCCGTCGACGACAAAGCCACGGCATGACTCGACGAATCCGACGACACACACGAGGGATGGGCCAACGGCGGCGACAGATCGCGCAGATCATGCCATGGCTCGTCGTCGTCGTCGTCGTTGTGTGGGGACGGGAGGGGCAAAAAATCCAAGTTCACGTACGTCGGCTGATCTGAAAGAAGTGGCTGGGGCAACGCTGCACCCAATGTGGGGGTTACTGAAGCGGTCGTCGAAGACGAGGAGGAGGGGGCGATGTCCCATCGGTATTCGAGGGTCACAGTGTCGTCGTCTGTCGCGGGTTGCCGCGGGCACTGGTGCAGAATATCCAGACACGACACGCTAATGTCGTCCACGCCCCAGCCAGGATGCACGCGATCGCCCAGTGGCACCACGCGAAACAGCCGCCGCACGTCGTCCGACGTCGTGTGGACGGCGGCCCATTTGGCCATCATGTGCGTGCAGACGTCGGAAATGCGCTTGGAGCCATTCATTGTGAGCTCGACTTTGGGGCGGGCGCCAATGTCGGCCACAAGCGCTTGGGTCGCCTTGTCGATGGGCACAAAGCGGACTTTGATCTGCCGCTTCCTTGCGTCCATAGAAGAAGGGGGCGGCGATGGCTTGCGCCGCTTGGACGTCGAATAATCCAGCAACGTCCACGGAGTCGCGATGGCATGTTGGGGAGGGGACGATGCTGCTGTCGTTGTGGTGGCTGTGGTGGGAACAGGAGGCATGGGGGAGTTTACGAGCGGGCGCTTCTTTCGAACGATGGGGGTGTGCACCACCGCTGGCAAAGGTCCAGCGCCGACTCCGTTGGGCGAAGTGGAGACATTTGTGGACGCGGTTTTCTTCGAGTGTTTGGCGGCGGCAGACATGGCGGCTTCGCTGCTCTTCCGGCTCTTGAGCAGCGTGTGCTTCAGACGCCCAGCGAGGCGCTTCTTGTGCAGCGGGTTGGAAATGTCGAGTTCAGACGAGCATACGCGGTGCCAGCACGAGAGAGCGAGGCGGATTTCGTCGGGTGAGTCCAAGTTCAAATGGACGTGGACGAGGGAGAGCAGCGTGTGGACATGCGACACCATCGCGTGGTAGAAGTCGTGGAGGGCACGCACGGACTTGTGCGGGAGTTTGCGGGTCAGTTGGTCCCACCGCTTGGGTAACTGCGCGGGGGAATTCCACTTGCTCTTCATGGCCTGGAAGAACACGGTTTGGTCGTCCCAGGTCCATCCGCCCCAGGAGCGCTTCTTGGTTGAAGATGGAGGGTGGGAAGGTTGCAACACTGCATCACCGTCAGAGGACCATGTTGTCGACGGTGTGTGGGTTGTGGACGCGTGTGCCGTTGTGATCGTTGACTGCGGTGGCGGCAAGTCGTCTAGGAAGGCGGTAGAGTGACCTTTCGACAGAGGGTGGACCTGCTGGTGTGTGGGGTGTAATTTCGTATGTGGTTCCATCGACCTCAAGGCATCGCCTTTCGCTTTCTTGGACGTGGGTTTCGCATGGGGTTCTGATGTGAGTTTTTTGGCGGGAGGTGTTTCATCAACGACGCTGGTCGCATGGAAGAACGGGTCCGAAGGGCTATCGGACCACGATAGATCGGGAAAGAATTCCCCTTCGACGGACGAGTCCATCTTGTCCAGCCACCCGTCTTCAAGCACGACAGGCGTGATCCAACTGAACGCATCGTGGGTAGGTTCGGGGCAGTTCTCCTTGCCTAAGACAACATGTAGAATGAGATATGGAGTGGTTGCATGGAGAGATATCTACCTGACACTTCTATCCGCATGATATCGCGATGGGGTAGTAGGTGTCGTGAGTGGAAGGCAGTGACGGCGGCGGCGCTTGTCGCTTCCACGTCGAGCTCGAAATCTTCTCTGCTGATAATTTTCGTACCAAAACCTCCTTGTTTCCCATTGGCTAAAATCCTGACAGATTGCAACGGTCCCGCCAAACAAATACGAAAAATAAGGCGCTGTGATTGGATACAGTTATTCTAACGTGCTATGATTGGCTGAATTTCGAGCCAAACTCAAATCTCATGCTCTCATAACGCGCGCGCGAATTTGGAACGCATAGGCGGGCCAGGCAGCCTCCATAGCCACTGCCTGCTTGCATGAGACCATTTCGGACGATTTCATTGATGCAGAAGCTTCCAGTTGTATATCACCGAGTTGGCGGCGTTCTACTCTGTCCTACAAACCGACATCCTCGATCCAATTACGGAGTGCAACAAAAACTGCGACAAATATCAACGTGCAAGGTTACATGTACTTCTTCATTCATCACCGGATGCATGCTGAGCACCCCCACCGCGGTAAGTCGGACGACGGGGGTTAGGCCCATGACGGTCGGGGTTGCAATACGCCTCGCACATCCATGTACGCTTCACCTTTCGCTCATGCCATCGCAGCTTCCTCCGGCACACCCAACAAACAGTTTTTACACAATGTTGAACGGCATTTGAAATTTGTGAAGATATCACATCTCACAGGTTCTTCACGTATTCCCGCGCTAACTTGTAAGTCAACATCATAACCCAAGAGGCAAAATAATTGTATATTCGATAGTAGCCTCAACTAGTGTATCATCTATCCATTTATTCGTCTTCGTAGTCGTCCAAGTCCGAGTCTTCGTAGATTTCTCCGCGCTTCTCGGCTTCCTTCTTCAACTTGAGCTTGGCCTTGAGTTCCTTGCGGGTGAGCTTTCGCTTGACCTTGGTGACTTGCTTGTTGCCGAACGCGTCGACGGTTTCCTGCGAGTCGATCTGTTCGATCTTGGTCTTGTCCTCCATGACCTGGCCCTCGATCGAGCAGTGGCCGGCTTCGACGTTCCACGTTTCAATCGCCAAATGGTCCGTGAACTCGCGGTTGTGCGAGATCATGACGACTCCGCCGCCAAACTCCTTGATGGCCGTGGCGAGCGCGCCCAGCGAGTCGCGATCCAAGTAGTTGGTCGGTTCATCCAGCACCAAGATGTGCGGGTTGAGCCACATGGCGGCGCCCAGCACGACCTTGACCTTTTGCCCGCCCGAGAGCCCGCGCATGCGCGAGTGCGTGCCGAACTCGGGGCCCAAGCCAAAGTTGTCCAAGTGCTTTTGCACGGCGATGGCCGTGACGGGGCGCGCCTGCAAGTTGGCGCGCGCCGCCTCGCGATCGTCGGCAATCTGGAGCAGCTTCTCAAAGCCCCACTTTTCGAGCTTCTCACGCGGCACCCACGAGTTTTCCGTGTCGGGCAACTTGACCCACTTGATCTCGTACTCGAACGACTTTTTCAGCTTGCGGCGGTTCTCGATCGTCTCGAGCACGCGCTTCTCGCCCTCCCAGTTGACGGGCTGCTCCAACCGCGCCTTCTCTTCGGGGCTGATCTTGCGCGTCTCCTTGGCCATCAGTTCCTTGTCCTCGCCAGACTGGAAACGCCATTGGATGTACTGGTTGGCCGTCAAGTCCAAGTGCTCTTCGATGTGATGGAACGCATGCTGCGCCACGTACGCAAAGCGCATGGACGGATGCTTCCACATGGTACCGGTCGTCGGCTCCACTTCGCCCGTCAACATCTTGATCATGGTCGACTTGCCGGCGCCGTTGGGCCCGATCACGGCAATGCGCGACGACAGCGCGCACGTGATCGTGATGTTGTTGATCGACGGCTTGGTCGTGCCAGGGTACTGGTACGAGCAGTTGTTCATGCGGATGATGGGCTTGCCCTTGTTCTTGATGTCGGCCAAGAAACCCGGCTCAGGGAACTTGAACGCGAACGTGGCCGCCTCCAGGTTGTAGTACGCCTTGGCTTCCGGGCGCAGCTCCACAAAGTGAGACATGTTGCCCACGTACGTCTTGAGCTTGCGGTTCTTCTCGTAGTGGATGATGTTGGTGCACACGTTGTCGAGGAACCCCGA